AGGTTTCTAGCAGTGGACTTGCTCACTGTGTCCTGAGCCTATGTGGATTTCTCTCCCCAGATGAGTCTGCAGACTACAGCGCTGGCCTATCAGTCCAGTGTGTGTCAGTTGCTCAATGAATGGTGAGTGAGTGAAGGCGAGACACAAAGACAACGCCACAGCTGTTCCAAGGACTCAGAGTACAGACTTAGGAGACAAATATATTTTAAAATTTGGGGGGACATCTTGAGACAGGGTCTTCCTCTACAGTGCTCTGCCTGTCTTAGAACTTACTGTACAGATAGGGCTAGCCTCACACTCACAGAGATCTGCTTGCCCTTGCCTCCTGAGTCCTAGGATCAAAGGTGTGTGCTACCACACCTGGCAGTAGACTAATCTTTAGGGTTTAATAGCCAGTGGTTGGTGGGAGATGATGAGAAGAAGAAATGTAGATAGTGTCTGTTGGTTTCATCTGTAAGACTGTACTCAGCAACTCAGCAATAAGTGTAAGAAAGATGACAAGTGTGTCTGTGTGTGTGCGATTTTATGGAGTAAGGAGAGAAGGAAAGTAGCGAATACCAGAAAATCAATAATCAGTTTGGTTAGTCAGGTATGGTTGTGCAGCCTTAAATGGATCTCTGTTAGTTTGAGGCTAGCCTACATAGCAAGCTCCAGATCAGCCAGGGCTACACAGTGAAACCTTGTCTCTAAAAGAAAGTTAGCAGAGAAGATTCTGCTTGCTTACACCATCAGCCAAGAGGGTAGTTTAAGCTATGGGGTCTGGGCTAGGGAGCGGCTCAGTGGTAGAGCATGACACCCTGGGTTCGGTTCTCAGTACCACAAAAAACAAACAACAAAGCATGAAAAGATGAGACACCTGGGGAGACCATTTAAGACAAGCTCATGGTGAGCCTGACATGACCGGAGCCTTCGGGATAATCTTATTCAGTGACGCATGAACTGGGAAGGAAACAGACCAGCAACAAGGACTGTACAGAGGAGCTTCTCCCCTCTCAGGACAGTACTAAATGACACGCCAACAAGTCTCGTTATGTCAAACCGGTACTGCAGGACCCACCGCTCTCGTTCTTCATGGAGCTCATCAGCTACAGGCAACGGCTCACACCCCACAGGAACCCCTATGCAGAGATTTACCATTCCTAAAGTTTTCCAGCACAGTCTCTACTCACTATACCCCAACAGCTCTGGCACATCCTCAGTGTTAATAAATATTTTATACTTAGGTCATTCAGACTTTACGAAGGCGAAGGACCACTTGACTGTGTGTGTAAGAGAAAGTGTATGCCCACTAGGGACTGAACCACTGACCCACATCTCCACCCTGTGTTAGTTGCTTAAAATAGCCGAAAGCTGACTGGGTGAGGAACAGCACAGCTGTCCTAAGCCTATGCTGTTACCTGCCACACCAGAATCACTGCAGCAGTTTAGGGATCTCCAGCTGCCCGTGAACACTGCTGCTCTTACTCTTACTCTGTGCTGTTCCCTTAGGCTGTTCCCACCTCCCTTCCTGTATGCTTTCAACACACACACACACACACACACATG